TATGATGCTGCTGGAAAGACGGAGGGATATCCTGGGGATTTCTGAGGTAAAATAAAACCTGGCTCAGGTTTGTAGTTGGGCTCCTTACTGTCAGGAACGGATGCTTTGAATTCTGGAGGACTCGGTTCTCTGTGAGTGTGTGCGCCACTTCATCCTGGAGAAGAAGAACAAGAAGTAGAAAGGGCACAGAGTGTTTGAACACCTCTCACTAAGGCTAACCATTTAGCTATCAGTCACAGCCAGCCCCCCCACACACCCCCCCTCCCCCCCACACTTGTGTCTTTCCCCGAATCCCTGGCATCCACTCACTTTTGCTACGATCACTTCCTTCTTCAGGATCTTCATGGCGTAGTAGCGTCCCGTGGCCTTCTCCTTTACCAGGATAACTTTGCCAAAAGTGCCTTTTCCCAGGAGTTTGAGGTATTCAAAGTCGTGCATAGTCTGCGGGGCCAGAAGGAATGAAGAGTGGCTTCTGGTTACAAACAGAGGCGTTAACAACGTGCGCTCTAAACCTACAGGGATACACTTCCCAGATGACAACAACTCACAAGCATTTATGGCACTATTTCCCTCGCTATACAATTTCCTCTTTTAATGGGCTGGACTATATGTGGTAATGTCTCTGTTAACCTCTGACCTTAGCGCTAAGGAGAATGTTGGAAATGGTCGTGTGAGGGACATTTAATCCGAGGTTCACGTTAGGGAACACAGGCAGGTTTGTGAAACCTGGGTGACATGCTATCTGCTGCTAATCCAACTGCGGCTGAGGTCGGGAAAGAAGAAAGCGCTTGGTGGGCTCGGTGGGTCGGACTTCAAATTAAATGAAATAGCAAAGGGTCAAAGAGAAGATTAATGGTCGGCCTTAAAGAGAGGCATATTTTATGGCAATCACTGGAAGTGGCAGGGAAGGTGCGCAGCGAGGAGTGACTTGTTCGTACCACTTTGTGCCTGGGTTTGGTAAGGTAGACCTCCATGTCCATCGGGTCTGGAGAGGAGTCCATCATCTCCTCCTCTTGTTTCTGCAGACCCTCGGCCACAGCCTGGATGGCTTTGGTCCATTCTTCCCTGAGGAACCGCAGGCGGCAGGAACAATTACATCGTCATGTACCAAGAACAGCTTAATCACATAATTGTTCTTCTTATCAACAGGAAGGTAATTACACGTGTAAACTCTGCCAACAGCCACTAGGCTGTTTTTGGTGAATTCATAATTTAATATTCCTGTATGTTGGTGCAAATGAACCTCCGTGTTATGAAGACAGAACCTCCGTAAACTGTTTAAACAGGGGGTAAATTCTCTGATTCACAGTTGTTGTTTTGTTTTTTTTTTGGCTTCTCTGAGTCTCTAAGTATCGTATAGTATCGTGTGCTCTGTGCTTGCCTCTCCTCAGGGGTCTCCACGTGGAAGGTGCGCTCGATGACAGTGGTCCACTGCAGGCAGCGGATGATAAATGTGTTGGGCCTGGGCCGTTCCGTCTTCATCAGCTGGCACTCTGACCACAGCCAGGGAGGGAGGGAGGTCAGGAAAAGGGATAGAGAGAAGGGCCAGTGTGTAAGGGAGGACGGGGGGAGAGAGAGCCACAGTTATAGCCATTTATCTTTATCGCCACCCTAACAGACACTGTCGGCCAATTTGGAGAAGAACAGGTGCACTTTGGTGGAAGGAAAACAACTCTGATCCTCCATCCGTCGTCACCTTTAAAACATTGCAGCTGTAAAAAAAAAAAAAAACCCCCGATATTTATAGGATTTCAAATCTGTGACCATTAAAGAAAAAAAAAAACTCACCAAATCTGTTAATTTGATTAATGCTTAATGATTAAATACTGCACTGTGATTTATCGCTGCAATTTCATGGCAGATAAATGTCTAATAAGCCTCTACTGAGAGAGAGAGAAAAAAAAAACACTTTAAAAATTAATTTTGAAAGCAGAGATTTCCATCTGCACCTACTTCGCATTAACATCTGTTCGCAAATGAAACATGTCAGCGAAAATGTCAGAATGTGACACCAAAACGGCCTGTGTCTGATGGATGGAGGACCAGGAAGTGGACCACCACTGTGCTACAACATGGCTCCATCAGGGCGAAATCGTATTCCAGCTGCAGCAGCTCCGTCAGCAGCGACACGCCATGTGTCCCTCCGCGGTTCTCGTCGCGGCGTTGACGAGAACCCAACGACACTGCTGATGGAAGCAGCGCCTCGGAGCACAACCCAGATAAACACTCGAACTCAGGCGGCTAATAACCGCAATAACTCAAGAGTGTCGGAGAGGAAACGTTTTGTTAAACAAACAGTGTGCTGTCTAATTGCTGTGTTCAGTCATCTGCACAGCTTATCACAGCAACTTTGTGTGGGGTGAGGATGGAGCACGCTGGGTCGCCCCGGCCATTTCCAGTGCTGAGGCTACATGAGTGAGAGTCTGACAAGCAACTAGCGCAGGAAGACATTTAGCATACGTGTGCTTTAGCTAGGAAAGCTTTGGAGCGGTGGTCTTAGTGCACAGACAGACAGTCAGTAAGGACGATCGCACGCAAAGTGATTCCAGCATGAATGGGTTTCTAGGCCTGGGATGATGACAAATGTTGTCGATGTCAACTTTTGTAGCACAATATATTGTACGGTATATTGCAGCACAAACTATTGTCGCTAAACGATAATATTGTCAACAATATTTTGAGACTAATGTAATGATAACATAGCATATCCTATATACAAGTACACCCTTTCAAATGCATTATATGTTATTTCTCTTTTTACGATTCTCACATTTCCTACGGTACCTGAATGTTCCTCATTACGAACATGTCACTCAGTGGACACCTTATAAATACACATATATATTTTATGGGCTGTGCAGTGTTGTGAAGTTTTTTTGCGATGCAGCAAACTACACATTCAGTGAGTGCACGTCATTTTACTTCGTCGACCCTGTTGGAGGGTTGAAGGCTCTGCATGTTGATGTTTTTCCATCATGGAAATGTGATGATCAAATCATCATTGAAATCTAGTTGGTCCGCGGGGCAGGTAGTTAGGGACACCTGCGCTAGCTGTTTGCGTAAGTGTGTGCGAGTGTAGAAACATAATCGTCGTGCGTATATTTTAAATGTTCAATAAGTCCGACACACACTGTCCTTTTTGGTCACAGTGCTGTTTGAAGATATTTTTAAAATGAAAAGCAGCAGCAGTATATGCTACCATGGCTAAGTTTAAATGTGTTCCTCTGTAGTTCGTACTGTGACAAAACTGAAGCATGTAAATCTCTGAAGTTTTTTTTAACATGAAGCCAATCCATTTTCTCTTAGGAATACAAAAATACTTTATCCAAAATCTTAAATGGCACAGAAAACACATATGCCTGGTTGTCCAACAGCTAACAGCTAATGCTAGTTTAAGGCCAGTGGCTCTTATTACTTTGCTGGACTGTATGTTTTATGTGAGCTGTACATTTAGAATGTTCAGAAATTGAAACGTCCACAGAATCCTTTGTGGTTCTGAAGTCATCTAGGTGTAGATGACAAATAACTGTAAAAGTTATTAGCGTCCGCTCAAAATGTTAGCATTTTAGCTTTAGCCACTTCCTGGTTGAATCCCTGGTGAGAAAACTCTTACGTGTGGCAAGAAACCGATACAAACAGAAGTAGGTAAAGTTCTACCATTTATTAGAAGTGTTTGTCTGGTTTCTTCAATACTAAAAAAGGTCATTTTTTAAATTATTTTAAAAGTATGTTGTAAAATGACTTAACTGTTTTTTTAAGGTCATGTAACGGCAGAATTCTGACATTTCTGTTAATATTCATATTATTAAAATATTGCTCTTATTTAATATGTGTAATATATTTATATTAAATAAGAGCAACATGTTTTTTTTTTTACAAATAAGATGAAAAAAATAAAATAAAAAAAAATTATGCAAAGACACTTAAAGTAAGATGTGGTGTTTTCTTTGAAGCAGATACTCACGTGCAACAGAGAAGTTATTCAGAGGAGTCTCCAGCTGGTCGACATCTTGTGGTCGCTCTTTGTAGCCAATGAATGTACCATCACTCTTCAGGAGGAAATACCTCGGCCTCCAGGTTTTGATGTATTCTCCTGAAAAAAATTTAAAGGAGAGTCAAATATTAAGACAGTGACTCAGTAATTAAAAAAGAAAAACTTTCTCCCCCAGGCTGACTAATGCAGTATTGTTTGGTTTACACTGTGTCCTGGCAATTTAAAAGGGAGTGTTGTTGTTTTACTGTGTGCTCTGGTTTCCAGGAGGTGAAAACTATTTCCTGCAGACTAATTACAATGCAGTTCACTGGAGCTGCCTGAAATGACCATCTTGTCACCGTCTTTACTCCAGTGTAGGTCAGCGGCAGGACAAATGGTTATTTCACCAGGAGTCAGGACCCTCTCTGTCAAAGAGTCTGTCTCCTTCCAGCGGTCAGACTTTCAGACTCAGAATTAGACTCTTGGGAAACATCCAAAACCATCTGTACAACTTCTACCAATCGGGGTGAGCAGAGGTTAAAACATGACGATCCTAATTAAAAATGTATGTGGAAAAGAACATTTAATTGACAGAAAGTTTTACGTCCACTGTAAGAGCTGCCACTGAATCATTACTGCTTGTTCCTCAACCAAGAACCAAAGTTTGCGTAGTGGACTTGAAAGCTGCTGGTTCAGTTCCACTGACCCAGATTACCGTATTTTTTTGGACTATAAGTCGTTGCGGAGTATAAGTCGCACCAACTAAAAGATACATAATGAAGAAAAAAACAACAACAAACAAAAACATATATAAGTCGCTCTGGAATATAAGTCACACCAGTGCCCTCTAGCGGCTGTCAGTGTGGAATATCGACCATTTAAATTTTCTGTGGTACAAGAGTAGCAGATACATGTACACAAGCCTGCTGTAGAGCGCCCTCTAGTTGCTGACAAATGCAAAAATAACAAACGTGAAATTTTACATTTTGATGCGATTTATACTCCAGAGTGACTTATAGTCCAGAAAATACAGTGTATATTTTCCAAAATAACTTTAAAATTAACTTTAAAAAATAAAAAAAATAACAGTAACTCTCATAGAAAGGAAAAACAACCGCAGGTCCGAGCTTTGACCAAGATATAGAAGAAAAATAGAAAATATATATAGCCCTACATAACAACAAACACACCACATCCACCCAAATACACACATTTGTTCATACAGATATAAAGTTAAACAACCACAAGAATAACATAACATAACATATACAGATAAAAAATAAACTTACATACTAAAATACTGACATGTTTTAACTAAACAATGCAAGAAATAAAAAATATATAATTAAATAATAGAAAAATACAAAATAAGAATACATAAATAAATAAAATATTAAATACGAAAAAGTAAACAAAGATTTGCTAGGTTTTCAGTAATCGGACATCTTGTGCGATTAATATATGTGAAAAAGGAATTCCATATCTTCACAGAATTACCAGTCAGGGTCAGTGTATTTTTTTTCTAATTTTAGATTCTAAAGCACCTCCCGGATTATTTAATTTTTTAAACTCCTGTCACTCACGTCACACACGAGAGGCGACATCGTCTTCTAAATCCCACAAATGTAGATTTAGTCGCTCATACGTTCGTCCAACAAAATCTTGCACATTTCCAAGAAAACCCATAACCTCCAGCCATGCGTGTCCGTCCCATTCACTCAGACACACTCACATCACACAAACGAAACACTCGCAGGGCAGACAAAACTCAATTTATTTCGGTGATGCTTCAGGAAACGTTGCGCCAGATGTTGCGCAGACGGGGGAAAAAAAAAAAACAGCTTACATACCATAACAAGGCAGTGGCACACAGCAGAGACTGAATATTTATACAGGAAAAATGTAATTTATTTTTAATCACGGAGCTGCATATTAACCCCATGCAGAGCCGTGGCAAGCTGTCCTTAATTGCTCTATTTCCTCCGACACAGAAGTGTGTGTGTGTGTGTGTGTGTGTGTGTCTGTACGTTGGAGAGGTGCTGTTGTACTCTTTCACATACTAATAACTTATGAAAACACTTTGACAAAGAGTCAGCTGTACAGCAAGTTGGGTTTTTTCCAACTTACATTTTTTTTTAAAAATAGTTATATTTTAAATTTTAAAATTGATGTCCCTAATATATAATATAAATACATAATAAAAAGGAAAAAATGCATTTCTTGTCACAATATAACAATAATCAATCTAATTTTTTTTTTTTTTGTGAAACGTTGATTAATCTCCGCTCCATCATGACTAATCGTGATTGTTTTACAGCTAACATGTATGTACACTTCTGAGTTCAAATTAAACGTGTGGACTTTGTGGTTGTAAACTATAAACACGCTCACTTCAGTGTAGTTCTCATGATGCAGCTGGATAAAGCAGAGACTTTGTTCGTGAAATTCCAGGCGGGCAGTTGGCTGTTAAATCCAAAAACCAAAGTTTACACTGCACCTGAATAACTCTGACTGGCAAAGTGCAGACAGCATTCACTTCACCAGAGAAAACATGTGCGTACGACCATTTAATGTCTTCTTTGTTGGTCCATATTTAAATTTGGCACATGAGAATATTTGAAAATATTAATAAAAAAACGAGAGAAAATCACTCAACTTTCTGGGATGTAAAACTCACAGCGTAGTGATGGAACGATTGGTCAAAAACGAGAGAAAATCACTCAACTTTCTGCGATGTAAAACTCACAGCGAAGTGATGGAACGATTGGTCAATCTCTCTCTCATGCCTGTGTTAATGTCAAGCATTTATAATTTTTTACTTATAATTTTTAAACGGCTAGAGCAGACCTGGGCAAACTGCGGCCCGCGGGCCATATATGGCCCGATGGCCTTTACAATCTGGTCCACCAAACACTGGTACAAGACTGATGTCAATCCTTCTGTGTCATATCTGCTGCAAACATAACAATTTCCCAAATATGGGATCAATATAGGACAAATTTATTTATTTTTATTTTTAATACTGACCCGGCCCACGAGGCAAATTCTAAACCATATTTTGGGCCTTGAGTGATACAAAGGGTTGCAGGTTTGACGCCACTTACATAATTACGGAAGTCAACTACTGTCTCAGCCTCTGATAAAAGGACAAGCTGAAAGTGATTGTTTGGCTGTTGAACTGTTTACACTATAAACCTAGGCTAAAGTACGCAAAAATAGTTACATCGAGGGCAACTGGACGGAGAAGGTTTTTTTTCTTTTTAAGACAATTGACCTTTCATCCAAGAGGCTTCTTCAGTTCTGACCGACTACTTGGAAGTCGAGTTGCCCTCGATGTAACTATTTTTGGATAAATTGACCTGGATGACTGAGAACCTACACAGACATCTTAGCTAAAGTAACATTAGCATCAATTAAGCTCCATATGTGCACACATTCATCTGAAGAGGATCGGGGGGGTGTTGGGGAGGGTTGGGTGGGAGAGTGTTGTTTTTCATAGGCCTCCAGGTGTGACATCACCTCAGTACAATAGTGGTTACAGGTATATTAGCAAAACAAAAACAAAAAAATACAACAATAAAAAGACATAAAATAATACTTTTTTCTTTTTTTGGGTTCTAAACCCAAGCAGTCTTTTCAACCAAATTGCCTGAACCTTTTGCTGTGTGGCCCAGACGCTCTCCAGAGTCCCGCACTCGGAGCCTTGTTTTGCTCAACCAGGCCCCAGCTGGTGACTACCTCTGTGGTCAGGTTCTGGCTGACCCACATCCCTCAGCTACACTCCATGCCAACCAAACGAAGGACGGAATCTGAGCACAATGCAGGGACGGCACAATGAGCCTCGTACCTGGTTTAGGGGCTGAGCTGTGTTTTGTTGTGAGAAGGAATGCAGTAAATCAAAAAATAAAATCAAAAATAACGAAAAAAATATATCTCAAATTATAAAGACAGATGTTTGGGGGTTTTTTTGTGTGTGTTTTGCCTGATCAGACAACCAAACGTTTGTGTGTAAAACAGTTTGAATGAACATCTAGTTTGGTTGTTGCCATGAGCGTCTCCTGTCAGATCTACTGACACAACAGCACACAGTAGGAGGCAAAAAAATATAAATAAAAATATATTTAGAAATATTAAATAAAATATATGTAATTTATGAGAACGTAAATATATATTTAGAAATATTAAATAAAATATATTTAAAAAAAATCTACGTTCTCATAAATTACATAAGTAAACGTTGTCAGGATGTAACGGCTCCTCTCTGTAACAGAGAGTGTAACAGCAGCAGCACGCGCAGACACACTTCCAGCTCAGAGTACCCACACAGAGGTTACCCAACATCTGCAATCTACATTCTTAACTAGGGCACGTTCTTTCTAGACAGGAGATCTCTGCAACTTCCTCATCTATGACCACAAACAGGTCACATGACAGCGGTGGAAGTGGCCATATCCGGTCGTGTGTATGTGTGTGTTTGTGTGTTTGCCTGTGTGTTTGTGCATGTGTGCGTATGTGTGTGTGTGTGTCCTGCAGCTCTGCCGTCCCACGCAAACAGACTGCACTTAAGGAGTAAGAAACAAAGATGACCCTTGTCAGCATCCTCTTTACAATTTCCTCTATCTATTTTATTCTCCTCTACTTTCCACGTGAGGGTGTTTGATGAGAGCAGAAAGTAAAAGTGACAGCATGGCTTTTGTTTTTACCGTTGACTTCACCCTAACATAAAACAGACGAGGTATTTTAAAGAAATAGTACTCCGAATTTCTCTACGTCTTCTCACTCTTTGAAGAACGGACCACGGACAGTGAGGAAAAACGCACGGACCGCTGACGAAGCACAGCTTTTTAGTCACTTCATTATCACAACCTTCCAGTCAATCCAGCCCTTTTGATGTCAACATGTTCTCCAAAACAGGAAACAAGGCAAACAGACAAACGGACCACGTCCAAGATAAGACCTACACCCGCCTTTAGGTGTCAGGACCGAGTTGACCGGAGATGGACGAGGCCGCCACGACAAGATCCACATCACGACCCGAGCGCCCCCGATCCTAAGCTCCTTCTGATACGCGTACAAGCGTGGCAGCACACATGTGACCCGACTCAGCTAAATTAGGCGAA